AAAAAGAGAAAGAAAAAAAAAGAAAAAGAAATTCTACTTCAGATAGACAACAGCTTTCCTTTTCTCATATATAGCAAGTGCTTTGCAAATTAGTCTAAATAAGCTTAGAAATGGATTTTCAAGGGCAAAATCAGTCATCTGTTAGTTGACACTGATGATAAGCTTAATGGTAAAAGGTACAGCATACAGATGTGGTTTTCCGTGGTAGGCATACTCCAACAAAATGTCACACAAGCAATAAATGTGTACACATACTGCTTATAATAGTAAATTCTCTAGAACCCATGTGAAACAGTAAAAATAAACAAATGACATCAGTTTTAATAATATGTATTCTTTAATACAACATATCCACAACATTATTTCAATATTAACTTGAAAAATATCAAGATGCTTTTTCATAAAAGTGTACCAAAATGAGCATATACTTTCCATTTATATTACATCTCAATTCAGTCTAGCCACATTTTCTGTGCTAATGAATTCATTGACAATGCAGGTCTAAACTGTTTTAGAGGTACTTCCTACTCCTTCAACGCACCAGATGATTATAGCTGCATTCTGACATATCAGAATTATCCTGAGTTTGTATGAAGCAATTACATTGCAAGTCTTATTTTCTAATATTCATCATAAAAGAACAAAACAACTCTAGCTATTGTTGTGTCTGCTTTAAATGAAACTTTGATACAACATGTGACTGGATCTTCTAAACTCCAGCTGAAATTTCATAAAACTTAATGAACATGCTAAAAATATAAACTATATAAAACGCTTGCTTACCATGAAACTTACGTGAAACTCTGGGTTCAATCCCCAGCACCACAAAACAGAGAGTAGCTCAAAATGTTTGATTCCTACTTATCTATATATCTCTAGTTTTGTGTGTGAACATAGTCTGACCCATACTAATTTCTCCAATAGTTATCATTGGTTTCCCCACCCTCACCCCCAGAAAAATAGCCTAGTTCTTTACACTTATTCAGGGATACTGTTGCTGCTCCATCTTCAGACTCAAGAGTTACTACTGCACTTGTCTACTCATTCAAGATGACACATAGAAAAATTAGATATAGAAGGGAATATGTTCTTCACAGAACAGTTGTAGACAGCCTCAGAAGATACTTGTCCCCACTTGAGAGTTGTTTTGGTCTCTCAGGAATCCCGATCCATGGTCCAAATTGATACGTTTTCCTGAATATCAAATGGATTAACACCTCAGTTAAGACATCTTTTTTAAATTTTTGGAGCTCAGTTTAATGTCTATTTTTAGAAATTAAAGAAATTAAAATGCCCCAGGGCTGTTTTTATGATCAGCATGAACTTGAACTTGACCCTTTAGGACTTAGGTTTTGCTGGACGAAACCTTGGCTCTCCCTGAAGAAAATGGTATGTGCTTCTTTCCTACTGCCCTGATTAGCAGAATTTCTCAGAGGTTGCTGAAGGTCCCTTCTGTCCCTAATTCTACACTCACATCTTCTTTAGGATCTTGCTCGTCAACTTCACCTTCTCATTCATCTCCCCCTTCCCCCCCAGGAGAACCTTTCTGCTTTCCTTGATGTTCCATTAACTCCCAAATCCTACATCTTCCTAAAACTTTTTTTTTTCTTTCTCTAACATCTCAGTCTTTAGATTTTTGGAAATCAAATTTAGGAGAAGACTTGAGGGGGAAAAAATTGCCTTTCCCAAGGAAGGAGTCTAGGATAGCCTGTTTAAAAAGAGGGAAGAGCAAATAAAGGATATCCAAAAATATAAAAGTACATTTTTCCAGGTGCCAGTGGGTCATATCTGTCATCCTATCTACTCAGGAGGCTGAGACCTGAGGACCTTGGTTCAAGGCCAGCCTTAGCAGGAAAGTCAGTGAGACTATTATCTCTAATAAACTACCAAAAAGCTAGTGGATCTGAGCACAAAAAGCTCAGGGATAGGGTTTAGACCCTGAGTTCAAGTCCCAGAAAAATGTGAGCACATACACATGTCTGTGCACAGAGAAAGGGGCGGGGGGGGGGATAGCGAGCATATATTAATAAAAGTATTAGTTGCAAGTCAGTATTAACCTACTAATTATAGGTTGAAGGATCAATAATGGCTGAAATTGGCAGGGAGTGGCGGGTTAGCTGAACCCAGAGAGGCAGAAGGTCCAAAAACAGCCTTTGCAGTTAAGTTGCCTGAGCCCAAGTAGTATATGCCACTGGGGAAATCCCAGGTAAAATCCTCAAGAATTCCCCCAAATTCTTCTTAGTAATCACTCCTCTTCCCTACTTCTGCCCATGCCCAGTATTAACTATTTGACTAAGTATCATCATTGACTACCTTCTTCAAAGCACATGTTTAATCTTTGTGGGTGTGTCCACAGAGTCTCTTGTACATCTCCAAGCTTCCAGTCTGTTCCCATTTGCTTCTTTCCTCAGATGACAGGCAGTGAAATCTAGAACTCAAGTATAAACTTCTTTCTTGTTCAAAGTCTTTCCATAGCTCTCTTGTAATTAAAACTCTATCCATATTGTACCATGTGGTTCGTAATTATTGCTGTGACTTGCTTCTGCTTATCTCCTGCTATGCATGGCATCTTGGGTGTTATCCCTCTATATCCTGCAATACTTTAACACCTGTGCACATGTTTTGTCCTTGGCCCACAATGAGCTCTTTTACCTGATTAGACATATCAGGCAGAAGTTTTGAGTTTTATCTATAGTTAAGATAGTCTTCTTGCCTTCTCTCATTTTCTAGGGATTTGTCACTCATAGTAAGACTATTGGCTTACTCAACAATTCCATACTTCCCAAACTAGACTTGTCCACCAGCTCTGAATATCCAAAGCACAATACAATATCTAGCTGTCACTAGGTACTGTAAGGAGCTGTAGACTAGGTCTGCCCATTTTCTAATCTCCAACTCCCATCAGGTAAGATCTGCAAGACAGTAATCTTTCATTGTAGAATGTCTTTAAAAGTGTGGATATTTAAAGGCAGATATAGCTTAATTCTAACTGTGGTGATCTTCTGTCAAAGGGGAAAATAAGCATACTCTGGAGTTATGATTTAAATCCTAAATTGTAGTTTTACTATCTAGTCTGGCTTCAGGTAAGTGTCATAAATATGTGTGTGTGTGCATGCACATGCATGCATGCTGTGGCTGATAATTATCCCTAAGCTTCTTTTGCTCAAGGCTAGCACTCGACCACTTGAACTACAACTCCAGTTCTGGCTTTTTTTTTAAAGTAGTTTATTGGAGATAAAAGTATCATGGGGGCTGGGAAGGTGGCAGTGGTAGGGTGCTTGCCTTGAATGCATGAGGCCCCTGGGTTCGATTCCTCAGCACCACATAAGCAAAAAAGAAAAAAGCCAGAAGTGGAGCTATGGCTCAAGAGTGGTAGAGTGCTAGCCTTGAGCTGAAGAGCTGAGGGACAGCGCCCAGGCCCAGAGTTCAGGCCCCATGACCGGACCCAAAAAAAAAAAGTATTATGGACTTTCCTTCTCTAGCTGGCTTAGAACCATGAGCTCAGATCTCAGCCTCCTGAGTAGCTAGGCTTACAGGTGTGAGCCACTGGTACCCAGCTCAAGTATTCCATCATTTTAAGATATCTTTCTACTCTTTTATTTTGCCAGTCCTGAGGCTTGAACTCTGGTCCTGGGTGCTGTCCCTGAGCTTCTTTGGCTCAAGGCTAGTGCTCTACTACTTGAACCACAGCTCCCCTTTTTCTGAATAGTTTATATTAGAGATAAGAGTCTCATGACTGCTGGCCGCTGGTGGCTCACACCTGTAATCCTAGCTACTCAGGAGGCTGAGATCTGAGGATCTTGGTTCAAAGCCAGCACAGGCAGGAAAGACTGTGAGACTCCTATGTCCAATAAACCACTAGAAACCAGAAGTGGTGCTGTAGTTCAAGCGGTAGAGCGCTCGCCTTGAGCTGAAGAGCTGAGGGACAGCGCCCAGGCCCAGAGTTCAAGCCCCATGATCGACAAAAAGAAAAAAAGTCTCATGACTTTCCTGCCTGAGCTGGCTTCAAACCACAATCCTCAGAACTCAGCCTCCTCAGTAGCTAGGATTACAGGCATGAACCACTGGTGTCTGACTGATCTTTCTGCTCTTTATCTGTATACCTTAACAGTAATTCCTATATCATAGACTTTTTTCAACAATTTTTTATTTTGTCATCCAATTTAAGATATTTTTTTCCAATTAGACCTTCCCCAAGATACTCATAAAACAAGAGATATATAAGCAATCAATATACTTGAAGAATTATTCTTGCCTTTTAGGAGGGGAAAGAGGGTCCTATTGATAAGAAGTGTTGAAGAAAATATGTCGTGGTTTTTTCATAGAACTCCCATTGGTTAAAAAGTCTAGGTCAGGTAAGGGCCCTGCTGTTTCCCCCCTTTCTTGCTTTGTGGTCAAGCTCAGGGGTTTCCTGCCTCCCCTCTCTGGGAGAGGTGTGAATGTGGAGCCAGGTGATTTGATGAAGTTCAAATAGAAAAGAGAAAAATATAAATGTTAGCTTTGGTTCCCTAATTGGGCACTTCTGGTTTGTCCTTGAGCGATCATGATCTATGATGTAGAGAGAAGAAACAAGGTCTTTTCAATTCTTTCCCCTGGCCCTACCACTTAAAGTGCTGCTGTAAATTCAGGAATCATCATGTATAGCTATGAGGTGGTGTTTGCTTGCCTCATCCCACTAAGTCAAACTTTGGAAACCTTTCCTAGGGGGATTCCCAGGGAAAAAAGTAAGAGGCAGTGCCCAGATGGAGCTCACATCACATAAAGAGAGGAGTGGGTGAGGAGGGAAAAGCAAGTTTCTACTTAAGCCCAAGGGATTTTGTTCCACTTAGCCTCATTCTACTGTTACTAGATGACACCTTCAAGGATGTTGACCATGACCCATAGTGTCAACATCTAAAGATTTTGCTTCAGATCTAGGGTATATTGAATGAAGAGCATTGGAATAACTGAGCCTCTTCACAGCAATACTGAGGTCAGGGTACAGGTAACAGGGGAAAGAGTTATTTCTTGTGCGCATGATGTCTTCGAGAATGTCCTTGCTCCCGATTCCTTGGGGTTTTGGATTTTGCACCAATGGAAAACGAAGGAGCTAAGGATCTGGAAGGATCTCTTCCAACATAGCCCTGAGCAAATGGAGAGGACATCCCAAAACCAAAACTGGTTCCTGCCTTGATTCCAGGGATAGGTGGGCTCTGAGCAAAGGGAGTCATGGAGGGATCACCAAACATAGTCTTTTTGGCAAAAATGTTAGACCTCCCAAAAGTAAAAGGTGTGCTCTTGTTGGGAAGGTCCTGAGTGTTTTGGCTCCAACCTTTCCCAAAGGGGGTCACACTACTCAGCATTGCTCCAGAGCCTGAGCTCCAGCCTGGGGCAGGCACAATGACCCCAGGCTCCCCACAATCCATAGGGGTCACTAATCCCCCAAAGGCAAATGGTCGAGGAGCTGTGCTGCCAAATACTGAGCCGCATGCCCGACTCTGGCTGTTCTGGGTGGCAACTCCAAAGCCAGATGGGTTAGCTTGACCAAAGGGAAAACTAGCTGGAGTGCTACCAAAGGCTGGCTGGGTGCTGGCAGTGGGGTACAAAGTGGAGGCTGAGGGTGTCAAACCTCCAAACACTGACTGTGTGGAATTTCTAAGGACTGATTCCGCTGGACCTGGCATAGGGGTTGAGGAAGCCATTGGTGAGTTTGTAAAATTGAAAGGGCTACTAAAGCTTGGCCTAAGAGCTGGCTGGGGTAGACTTTGCTTCTGCCCATCGGTGGCCCCAAACACAGGCTGAGGAGTAACTCCTGAAGATTGTGGGAGAAGTGGCTTTGCGTTTGACCCCACAGGAAGTACTACACTGGGGTTAGAGATGCTGGGTGACGATGCAGGCTGGTTTGTGGGAATTAAGGCTGAGGTTGGCAGAGGGCCTCCCTTACCTTTAAAATCAGCAGGACTAGAGGGTGGCTGAATGGCACTAGGAAGTACTTGGCTAAAGATAGTGACTGTGTGTACAGTAGGAATGCCAGGATGCTCTCCTGGTAGGAAAATGAAGCCTGTGGCTGGGGAGAAGTCAGCCCTGATGACTTGAGCAGCTCCAAGTAGGAAAGTTTGGCAAGAGGAAGTGTCAGAGCAAGTATCACCCATGGTACTTGTAAGGTTCACTATGCTAAAATCTAAAGGTGGCTTCAAAGTATACTCTTTGGCCGTGCTAGCTGGGGTGGTTGACATGACCATAGAGGTTGTCTTGACCAGGCCATGGAGAAGATGAGTTGAAGTAGGAGTAAATGAAGGAGAGGACTGTCCTGAGGAGAAAGGAGCTATCACTGGCATACCTGTAAGTGGTCCTATATTGCCAAAGATAGGCTTGAATGTTGGAGTTAAGATTCCTGGAGTTGTGGAGAGAGAAGAGCTTGAAGACACTGCAGTTGTGACTGAAATTCTAGAATATAAAGAACTTTCAATCTCACTATTGTGCAAGGACCCCAAAATAGGCTTTAACATGGGGCAAGCAGAGGTCACCACAGGAGGTGCAGATTCAGGAAAATGGGGTGTTGGGCTACTCATCTCCCCAATCAAAGCACTCTGTGTGGTGGGTGCAGCAGGGACAATGGCAGATGGGTCTGGGGATATAGCAGACCTGTCAGCCTGAGGGTTTGAAGGTGGCCAGGTGGTGCCAGTGACTGGTGATGTGCGAGGGGTTGGGGTCAGCAGGACCAAAGAAGTTGTGGGCTTTGAGTCTGAAGTAGTGCCTGGAAGGGGCTCTGATGGTGAACACCCAGCAGGTGGACTTGGCGTTTCCAGAGGTGAGTGGCCCATATCGATTGCCTCACCAGATGACTGTGGGGAGGCCAGGGGGCTTAGAGGTATCTTTACTTGTTTCAGGTTTTCCAACTGAGAATTAGTGTCTGTGGTCAGTGCTGTCCCACAAGGTGGCTGAGTGAGAAATAGAGAAGGATGAATGCCAGGCCAGGTATCAGGGACTGTGTCTGTGGTGGCTTCAGTTGTCTCCTCTCTGGCTTTGTGATTCCACTGGAGCTCAGTTTCCTTCTCAAAGGGTGGGCTCCTATCAGAGACTTCCTGACAAAGCTGGACAGGAGGTGTCTCAGACAGAAGGTGACCCAGGCTCGGTAGCAGCAATGGAATCCTCTGGTTTTGCTGCTCCGAACTGCTAGATGATTCTGGGGACTCTGTGTTTGATACTAATGTGACAGGAGAGTGAAGAGGATGGCTTTTTCCTTTCTTTTTCACTGACCACTCTGCTTTCCGGAATAATGTACTGGGGAAATATCTCTTAGAAGACACTGAGAACTCTGTACTAGAGCTGTAAGAGCTGCTAATAGCATTTCTTTTTGTGCTGCGTGGGCCTCGTCGGTATATGCTGCCCAAGGAACTGCACCTCTTCAAGCTGTAATCTGAGCTGCATGAGTGGATGCTCCTTTTCAGAGGCCCCAGCCTGGGCACAAAAGAAATAAGGACTCCATTTTTCCTGAGAGGTTTAAAGGCAGATGGTCTGGTCTCTGAACTTCTCCTCTTGTTATCCAAACACTCAGAGGGTACTGGGTCTTCCAGCCTCAGTCTCCCTTTCTTACACTCCATGAGGGCTCTCAGCACTGTCTCTTTTGCACAAGGGTCTGCTGGCTGCTCTGAGGGCCCTTCAGAGTCAATCACATTTTTCAGGGAAACAGAGGGGCGCACTCTCTGCGCAGGAGGGGTGATCTTCACAGTCACTGGACTCCATGTGGTTCTGGGGTGCCTAAGAGACCAAATACTCCTCTTAAGGTAACTTTCCCACCAATCTGAAGGCAGAGGTCCCATGATGGAGTTCTGGAACTTCTTCATGGGAAAGCGCCTCCAAGCTTCATTGACAAACGCTGTAGGATTGGAAGGATCCCAATTTGGCGGTCTCCTGGCAGGTCTGTGCCGAGAGGCAGGGTGGGCGCGGTAGACATGCTGAACCCGATGGACTTGGTTAAGGGGCTGAGCCGGCCGGCGGTTCTTGGGCCTGTCAGGCCAGTCACTGTGTACCTGGGTTCGGGACGATGGTGAGGATCCCGGTTTGCCCAGAAAACTGCCCATGAGGAACGATGAGGCGCAGGCGATGACTTCAAGAGGGTTTCAGCTTCGGATGTTTCGGACGTCTGCGCAGTTTGGCCCAAGTCGAAGCGCCCAGTGTTCGAGTTGACAGTTGGGACAAGGACGCGAGGAAAGCGCGAGGGTCCTGGAGAGGATGCAGCGCGCGAACATGGGGACCCAGCAGATGCTTCAAGCTGGTGCCACAGATGTTGAGGCCCACGTGGAAGCGCTTTGCATTTTGGCCCTTATTTATATATATTTGAAATCTCTCAGGAATTAATTCCCTTTATTTTTTCTTAACATTTCTCCTTTGTGATTTTTTTTTTTTTTGTCGGTCGTGGGGCCTGAACTCTGGGCCTGAGCGCTGTCCCTCAGCTCTTCAGTTCAAGACCAGCGCTCTACCACTTGAGCTACAGCGCCACTTCCATCCTTTGTGATTTTTTTATTGCTCTTTTTCTTTACTTGGTTATCCTTTTTATCTGTATCCCTTTCTTGTCAATAACACTCCATTTGATTTTAAATCTATGCTTCACCTGATACAAGGTACTCACCATTTTTTTTCTCATCTTACTAATCTTGATATGTAAATCAACTTTACTGAGGTATTTTACATAAAGCAAGCATATTTTTAAGTCTTAAAGTTCCTATTACTTTGAGTAGTTAAGGTTACAGATGTGAGCCACCAGGGCATGACTATGCTTAGTTTTTTAAAAATTCGGAGTAATTGTGGAGTATTCAGCCATGTTTTATGTGGTTTTGGTGCATTCTATTTTATTACAGAATATTTATTGAACATATCATTGTTCATTCATCGATGAATATACTCAGTGACAGTTTCGGGTTTCAGTTTCCAGCTAATTCACATAAAGCCACGATAAAATTAACAATGTTTTACATATTAACATAATTAATATTAACATATATTAGCATACATTATCATAATGTTATATATTCACACATGCACACACTGCAATCATAGGCTTGAACTCAGGGCCTGGGTGCTATCCCTCAAGGTTAGCACTCTACCATTTCGAGCCACAGTACTACTTGAGGTTTTCTGCTAGTTAATTGGAGATAAGAGTCTCATGGACTCTCCATACTAGGCTGGCTTTGAACCGTGATCCTCAGATCTCAGCCTCCTGAGTAGCTAGGATTACATATATAAACTGTCCCACTTAAATGTCTTTCCATTACCACCAAATACTTGTGAAGTGTAATTGCTACATATACTTGCCAAAACTTGGGGTTTTCAGTAGTTGCTTTGTAACTTAACCAGTCTGAGAGTGTGATGGTATCTCATTTTGGTCTTAATTTTCATTAGCCTAATTATCTCCAATTAACCAGCAGAAAACTAGAAGTGGTGCTAGCCTTGAGCAAAAGAGCTCAGGGACAATACCCAGGCCCTGAGTTCAAGCCCCATGACCAGAATATGTTTATGGGTATTTCTAAAATATTGTGTTAATTTTCATAGGAGCTTTATGTGAAATAGTTGGAAACTGAAAACCTAAACTGTCACTGAATATATTAATGTTGGGTACCTTTACTTACATTTATTAACTAATCATTAACATTCTTTTTTTTTTTTCTTTGTCGGTCTTGGGGCTTGAACTCTGGGCCCTCAGCTCTTCAGCTATCTACCACTTGAGCTACAGCACCACTTCCAGTTTTCTGATGGTTTATTGGAGATAAGAGTTTCACAGAGTTTCCTGCCCAGGCTGGCTTTGAACCATGTTCCTCGGATCTCAGCCTCCTGAGTAGCTAGGATTACAAGCATGAGCCATGGGTGCCCAGCTCATTAACATTCGTTTATGAACTATTTAGCAAAATATTTTGCTCATATATTACAGAATCTGAATCCAATTTTGTTGTCAGTTACATGTATTAAAAGTATTTGCTAGTGGCGCACCGGTGGCTCATCCTGTAATCCTAGCTACTCAGGAGGCTGAGATCTGGGGATCGCAGTTCAAAGCCAGCCCAGGCAGGAAACTCCATGAGTCTCTTATCTCCAATAAACCACTAGGAAGCCAGAAGTGGTGCTGTGGTTCAAGTGGTAGAGTGCTAGCCGAGGGACAAGTGCCCAGGCCCAGAGTTCAAGCTCCAAGACTGACAAAAAAAAAAAAAATGCTACCAATTTGTGTCATTTTTTTCCATTTTGCTAATGGTGTTTTTGAGGAGTAGATTCTAATTCCAATGATATTCTCTTGAGCATTTTCTCTAATGTAAGTGTTTTCTACTAAGGAATTTTTATTACTATATTATAGTGAAGATTTTGTGTCAGCCTTGGGTCTCTGAGCTTCTTTTTGCTTAAGACTAATACTCCACTTTCAATTTTTTGGCAGTTTATTGGAAATAAGAATCTCACAGACTTACTTGCACAGGCTAGGTTTGAACTGTAATCCTCATATCTCTGCTTCCTGAATAGCTAAGTTTACAGGTATGAGTCACCATGCCTGGCTGTGAAGAAGATCTTAATCTATACGTTCTACTAGAAGTTTTAGCCTTTCAACTTTTATACTGTATTAACCACTTCAAGTTCATTTCATGTATTGGGCCTCTTCCTTACCCATACAAATGTCATCATTCTAGCATTGTTTATTTAATACAGTGTTTTCCTCCTTTTGCATTATTTTGGCTCATTGTCAAAAATCAAGGGGCCATCTATGTGGATGAGTCTATCTCTAGACTTTCAATTCCATTTCATTGACTTACTTGTATAGCTTTATAGCAAACATTGTTTTAATCAGTTTATATCAAGTAAAGGCTTTTTGGAGTTTAAACCTTTTAATGTTCTTCTAAAATTGTTTTAGACAATCTTTGTATTTCCACATATTTCATAATTAATCTGCTGGTTTTGTGCCCCCCCCCAAAAAAAAGCCTGCTGTGACTTTTATTAGTGTTACTCTGCGTAATGCATCTATTTTAGGAGAAATATCATCTTATCAATATTGGAATTGCTAGAAGAGACTCATTCACATCTAAAAATGTCTATAGCAAATACCACAGCTGCTGTGTGGTATTACAGATGTATATTTGGACTCAGAAATGATAGCTGATGAGATGGCTTAAATTCCATCGGGTCAATTTAATGAACACCCATATCTGCCTATACTCTGAATATTATCTAGTAGTCACTGGTGAGCTGTTGTTTGTTCTGACTGAACTAAGTATAAAAAGCAAATTAGTCTGTATACAAGAAATGTAAATTACATCAACACCACAATCCTTATTTATTTGCCTACTGTTTGTAAGAGCTGGGAATCAATTGATTGTCCTCAATAAACACTTATGAGATATTGAATATGTATTTGTTCATTAGACACCCCCAAAACATCTTTTTGGTGACAACGAAAACCAAGAAAGCTGTAACATAGGATGAGAAATGGAAAGCAACTAGTTAAGAATAAAGTTATTTTTGTAATATTTACTAATATAAGAAAAAGCAAATCAGTACTGGTGGGGAGGGCTTCAGTAATGAAGCGCCTGCCAAATAATCCTTGGGGGTGGCATCAAATGATAGCCTGCCAAAGAAGTATTTATTATATGCACACTTCTGAGATATCAAGTGAAAATCATCCTTAGCAAGGAACAGAATTCGCCCATGTGTAAAACTTTATAGCAGAGGATGGTTTCGATCCATCGACCTCTGGGTTATGGGCCCAGCACGCTTCCGCTGCGCCACTCTGCTGCTGCCACGGTTGCTCTCCTTCTTCTCTTTTCAATGATCAACAACAGGTATTTTTTCACTGTCAATAACATCTGATTCTTAAGGTCCCCTTGTTTAAAGCTTCTTTGTACTGCCAAATAGATCATTGCCCCACAACCAAGTAGTCGGCTCGGGCTATTGCTCCCAGATTTTCGCTCTTTCAATATGTCAAACAATGTCAGAGCTTGAAGGTTTTGTTTTGTTTTGGTCTTCTCTTGGAGCTGCTAGTTCTTCAGAGAGAGTCGAAGTAACGAACGGAGCAAAACCCTGTGTAATGCCTCCGGAGCAGAATCTGGAGACCCTTGAAACCCACACAGCTGCCACCGGAGAAGAATCGAATAAACGACCTAATTCCTTCCTGTTACTTCTAATTACTTCTTACAGTCGCGTTCTTCAATAGAGGAAGAAAGGGTGTACAATTTCAAATAGGTCCTCCCAACGTAGCACGAAGTGCAGTGCGCCATAAACCTGCTTTTCCTAACTCGGAGAGGCGGGTTCAGCGCCGCAGCCTACACCTGGAACTACACTTCCCAGAAGCCTCCGAGCCGCGCTGCTCTCACAGAGCACAGACTACATTTCCCAGAAGTCCTAGGATCAAGTTCCGCAGGCCTCCGAAAACTCCCAGTGAAAAACAAACAGCGCTAACGAGGTGGGCGGTGCTTCGCAGTCAAAGGGCCTCGGGTCATTTCTTCTTCTTACGAATCGTAATTCAGAGCGTCTCGTTCATGCTTTGACGTTAGAGTTCATTCTCAGCACGTTGTGTGTGGTGTGTGTGTTCTGAACACACTGTGTATGAGAGCAAGTTAAGATTAGTTAGACTTTGCCAGAAAACCACGCAGACATCATCCAGGGGCAGAGAACAAAGAAAGGTTTGTTGCCGGGAAAGGGGCCAGCAAGACCCTTTCTCACAGGCAGGAATGAGAAGCAGCACCGGCCATCTAGTCTGGGGTGACCTACATAACCTAGGAGGTTCCGGAAGGGCTAGGAGGGCGAGGAGATGGAGACCGTGGTGTGGACGGGCCGTGTGGCCAGGGGCTTCATCATATCGGACTAGGATTGATGGCTGCTATCCAAATAAGGGTCCTGCAACTGCCCAGACCTGAAGGTCACTCTTAGGGGCTCTTGTTGCCTTAGATAGTGGTAGCTGCCCCAGAGAAGTGCCATCCCAAGGTAGAGGGGGCTGGAAGTTGATTAGGAAGGGGGCATGCTGAGCTGTGGAGAAGGGAAGGAGTGGACTATGGTCTGGGAAGGGACTCATTTCGCTAAGGGACTCTCTTCACTAACAGTGTATCATCTACACTTTCTGACTTGTGGGCTGTGAGTTGAAAAACGAGTCACTAGAAAATAGATTTTCCCATTCCATTAATACTTCTTTGCCCCACCCCTCCAACTCCAGGCCCCTGAGAAGCATAAGGGACTAAAAAGAAAAAAACAATTCAGATAACCCCTGGGCATGTTTGTATATTTCTTTTATCATCCTTTTACTTTACGCTTTTTTTTACGCTTTTTAAACTTTTTTTGGGGGGGTCTTTTCTGTTTTGTCACTGGGGATTGAAGCCAGGACGTTGCACTTGCTAGGTTAGTGCCTTACCACTGAGCCAAAACCCAGCCCATTTCTTTTGGATATTTGTATGTTCATATCAATATATGCTAAATAGAATCAGAGACAAACTATATGTATCACTTATATGTAACAAAAATGTTTCATACTGAACAAAAATTTACCACCTATATTCATCTTGAATTTTTCTCATATTAGTATTCTTTTACAATATAGTTTTCAATGATACCTAAGAACTAATTTTGTGCCCTACCTATGGTCATGTTTAAAGGAAAAACATCCTTGTTATGAAGTAAATACTAACAAGTCAACAGTGTCTACATTTGCTGTGAGATACTCCAGGAAGGTGGAGGTGCACTCAAGCAGTTGAATGCAAGAAAGCAAGCAAGCCAGAAAGTGTGAAGTCCTGAGTTCAGTCCCCATTACAAAACAAAGCACTCATTCGTGATAAATAAAAAAGTAGGGATTGCTGAACAAGAATGGCAAAGTATTGATCACTGTTGAATCTGGATAATGGATACATGGACATTCATCATACTACTGTGAATTTTCTGCAAGAAAATTGTTTAGGGCTGGGAAGGTGACTCAGTGGTAGAGTGCTTGCCTTGCATGCCAGAGGCCCCAAGTTCAATTCCTCAGCACCACATAAGCAAAAAAGAAAAAAAAGCCAGAAGTGGCGCTGTGGCTCAAGTGGTAGAGCACTAGCCTTGAGCTGAAGAGCTGAGGGACAGCGCCCAGGCCAGAGTTCAGGCCCCACGACTGGACCCAAATTTGTTTAAACATAGGTCCGCATTCTGCTTAGCCTAGAGGCTAGCTAATCCTCTGCTGCCTCATGTTCATGTTACCTAGGCCTCTTTCAGAAGACATTTCCATTTCCACTCTCTTTTTCATAGTCTTCAATACTCCCTTTCCTGGACTTATCCTCTTTATGTTCCCCTAGTACTTCTGAATCTTAACAAATCTCAACTCTTCCCAGATCATTCCTTCTGTACTTTAACATTCAGACTACTTTCTTTTCAGATACTGCTTCCCTATTTCAGAGTTCCTATTTTTCTGACTTCACAGACCTCTCTATGAAAGTATCATACATGTTGCCTCTGCCAATTTCAAGCACATTTGTGTGTGCTGGAAGACACAAAGTACATTGAGGTACAAACCATCTATCAACCCTTCACCTAATCCAACTCTGATACATATATAACTTTGGCAATTGATACTCTTAGGTCTCAGCTCATTCTGAATATCATCAATGTCCCTGAACAGAGTAGCTTCTCCATAAATGCTTCTAAAATTGATGTCTGTAAAGATGAATCATCTAGCAAACATCCTGCCTTTTATTTGGAATCATGAGATCAAGCGGCAGATAGCCCCATGTCTGCAAGTAATACATTACTGCCTGTGCTTTTCCTCTCCCACTGATGAATCCTGTCCTTCCATGTTTTTTTGTTTCAAAAGTTCCTCTCCTCCGCCTTTAAAATGTGCCTGTCATCTGCTCTCCACCCACAACCTTCTGTCCTTCACATCTCTTAATTACTTAGCAAATATCCATTGCAACTTTGTAACAGATACCACTTTCTTCCTGCCTTCTGTATGATTTTTGCTCTCATATTCTTCAGTTTTCAGTCTCCCCCTTTTTAGTGATATATCTTGTTACCTTTAACAATTCTATGCAGATCTCTACCACTTGGGGAAAAAAACTTTATTAACGAAAATTTATTAAAATTACAGGCTCATGCCTGTAATCCTAACTACTCAGGATGAGATCAAGACTCATTTCCACCAGAAAAGCCAGAAGTGGAGCTGTGGCTCAAGTGGTAGACTGCTAGCTTTGAGCTAAAGACAAGGATAGTGCCCATGCCCTGAGTTCAAGCTCCAGGATTAAAAGCGGGGGGAGGGGGGGAGGGATAACTGACTCTTAAATGGCCACAGTTTTCTAAATCCACCTGTTCTTCATATCTGGAATTCCTATTTAAGGAGGTGACACTATTCCAATGCAGTTCAGTCACTAGGTATTTATATAAAACAAAAAGAACTGCACTGATTTTTTTTTCAATTGTGGAGTCTAAAAAGTTCATTTCTATGATGAGTAATTCTTATGCAACCCCAATTTCAGAGGTCTTCATATTCAAGGCCAGGCTAAAAATTTATCAGTTGCGCTAACCAGATAAAGAACTACATGATGTATGGAGAAAATACAAGGGACCCATCACTTTTTGGCTGTTTACTGAACACAGCCACAAGACAAATGGTCATATGCAATATGGAATATACTTCTCCAGTATGTTACTGCTACTGAAACTGGCTAGGATAAGTGAAGTGACTATTACTTTGCACTGTGATTTAGGTTTTGCACTTTGGTGAAGAAGCCAACTGACCCTAAGTATATGGGATGGATGTCTACATCAGACACCAGATCTACCAGTGCCTTAATTTTAAGTCTTCCTTGCCTCCAGACTGAAAAACAAATTTCTATTTGAACCTCATTTAGTATGCGCACATGCATGCCAGTTCTGGGGCCTGACTCAAGGTCTGGGTACTATCCCTGAGAAGCTCAAAATTACTATTCTACTACTTGAGCCACAGCTCTACTTCTAGTTTATTTTGGGTGGTTAATTGAAGTCTTACAACCTTCCTGCCTGGACTGAGATCTTCACATCTCAGCTTCCAGAGTAACTAGGATTACAGGTGTGAGTCATCAATGCCCAGCATCAATGGTAATGTGTTACAGCAACCCAAACTAAGACACCAGGTAACTCCTATGAACATCTAAGGTTAAATAATATTGGTATAACTATAAAAGTAGTTCTGCAGTTGTGATATCTAGGATTTTACAACATACTAGAAATAAAAATATTATGGGGTATCCTTTGCTCTCAGACAAGTTCTCAGTGTGTTGCCAAGCTTAGACTCAAACTCCTGAGTTCAAAGTGATCCTTCCAACTCAGTGTCCCGCCAAGCTAGGACTACAGGCATGGACACTGCACCTAGACACAAAGTTTTAATACTCAATAAATTAGGCTATTATGTACCCTTGATTTTGAGGATGTTTTATAATTCTTTTTATTAGGAGCCAGTTATCTAAACAAGTGCATTAAGACAGGAGTATAGTGGATTCATAGTTACTGAAGCACAAGCTCCTTCTACCAGCAAAACATGCATAAACATACATATTCTAGATGCAGTGCACAAAATGCCAATATATAACAAACCTATATAAGAACATACTTTAAATATACAAAACAGTATAAAATTCTAAACTAACTTTGAAACATCTACTCCAAATCTTTCATTTCAGAAAGCTTAAAATAGTTGCATTTTTCCAATGTCACAAAATTGGTCAATAATAAAATTGGATTTGTTGGGCACAATGTATTTTCCACTTCATAGTGAGATAGCAAAAAGTTAAAATATCTAAGCAGTTTCTCAATCCACTGATTCTTCAGTGCATAACAAGTGGCAAAGCAAAATAATTCATGATGTTTCTAGTGTAGACATGTCAGGGTGTAGTCTCTGATGTTTGTTGAGAGCAGAACGATACCGGAAGGATTTTCCACAACTACTACATCCAAAAGGTTTCTTCTCAGAATGAATTCTCTGGTGTTTAATAAGGTATGTGCTCTGGCTGAATGTTTTCGTGCATTCATTACAGTTATAAGGTTTCTCTCCAGTGTGAGTGTTTTGGTGTTCTGTCAGGTGATTGCTCCGGCTAAAGGATTTGTCACATTCATTACACTTATAGGGCTTCTCTCCAGTGTGAATTCGCTGATGCTGCGTCAGATGGGAGCTCTGACTATATGTCTTTTCACATTTATTACACTGATAAGGTCTTTCTTCTGTGTGTGTTTTCTGATGTTGAGCAAGGGATGAACAATGTCGAAAGGCCTTACCACACTTGGAGCACTCATAAGGCTTTACTCCTGTGTGAATTCTCTTATGCTGGGTAAGGTGTATATTCTGGTTGAAGGCTCTCCCACATTCATTACACTTGTAAGGTCTTTCTCCAGTATGGATTTTCCGATGCTGAATAAGGGATGAGCCATAGCTAAATGTTTTCCCACACTCGTCACACTGATACGGTTTCTCACCAGTATGAATTCTTTCATGCTTAGCAAGAGAGGAACTCCGAATAAAGGCTTTCCCACATTCTTTACATTCATAGGCTTTCTCTTGGCTGTGAGTTTTCTGGTGTTGATTAAGGTTGGAGAGGTAACTAAAAGCCTTTCCACACTCACTGCATTCAAAGGGTTTTTCTCGAGTATGAATTCTCCGATGCTGAGTAAGGGATGAACAGTAACTGAAGGCCTTTCCACATTCATTGCATTTGTATGGTTTTTCACCAGTATGAATTTTCAGATGTTGAGCAAGGGATGACCAATAACTAAAAGATTTTCCACATTCTGCACAATCATATGGTTTCTCGCCCGTGTGTGTTTTTTGATGTTGAGTGAGGTTTGAGTGCTGGCTGAAGGCTTTTCCACATTCGTTACATTCATATGGTTTTTCTCCAGTATGAATCATATGATGACGTATAAATGTTGAGGGCCCATTGAAGGCCTTTCCACATTCATTACACTTATAGGTTTTCTCTCCAGTGTGGATTTTTTGATGTTGAGTAAGGTGGGTACTCCTGGTAAAGGTCTTATCACATTCATCACATTTAAAAGGTTTTTCTCCTGTATGAATTTTCTGATGTTCCATAAAGTGGCCTCTCTGACTGAAGGCTTTCCCACAATCATTACAAGTATATGGTCTCTCGCCAGTATGAATCCGCTGATGCTGAACAAGGTGAGTCTTCTGACTAAAGGCTTTCCCACATTCATCACATTTAAAGGGTTTTTCTCCAGTATGGATTCTTTGATGTTGTACAAGAGATGGACCCTCAATGAAACCTTTTCCACACTGATCACATTTGTATGGTTTATCGCCAGTATGCATTCTTTGATGGTTTATAAGGTTTTCACTCCGGCTGAAAGCCTTTGTGCATTCATTACACTTGTAAGGCTTTTCTCCAGTATGTGTTCTCTGATGGCGAATGAGAGCTGAACAATAGCTGAAAGCTTTACCGCATTCATTGCATTTACAAGACTTCTCTTTTTTAATAGGGTGTGACTTTTGTTTGACACTTTTTTTGGTAGAGATTTGTTCTAGAGATATTTCTTGCTGTGTTCTGAGGCTTGAATTTACACTGCCGCTTTTTGCAAATTCACTATTTACATGGCTCCTCTCCCAAGTGGGTATTGCCTTTTTAGTTACTTTTATTTCTCTTGGTGATATCGGCTGGTTTGCTTGCTGTCTCTCTAGACTGCCTTCAGATTCCCAAGTTTCTAGGACACTGGAACTCCCAGAACCATATTTTTTGTGTTTTTCCACTGTTGATTCTACAGGCAGCACTTTTGTAGAAATATCCACACAATTTGTATTCCACTCTGAAAGAAAATAAATGCCAATATTCTCTGGACATAAAGAAAAGAAAGAGAGAGCATGAGAAAGACAAAGAAAGAGAAAGAGAGAGAGTAGGAAAGAGAGAGAAAGAGAGGGAAGAAGGGAGGGAAGGAGGGACAAAGGGAAGAAGGAAAAAAAGGAGGAAAAAAGGAAGAAAAAAAAACTGCTGTTGTGAGAATCTTGGTGGGGCTTGAACACTAGGCTTGGGCGCTGTCCCTGCACTCTTCAGCTCAAGGCGAGTGCTCTGCCGCTTGAGCCACAGCACCACTTCTGGTTTTATTGGAGATAAAGAGTCTCATGGACTTTCCTGCTTGGGCTGGCTTTGAACCGTGATCCTCAGATCTCAGCCTACTGAGTAGCTAGGATTACAGGCTTCAGCTACCTGTGCCTGGCTGTGAGAACCATCTAATACAACTAAAAAGCCTCCTGGAGTGTTTGAGTATTTTTAGATATATAGCCCTATTATTTGAGGAGACAGTTATAAGGAACTAAAGAGAATAAATAAATTGTGAAAGTGACCGGACACTAGGATTAAGGCTCACGCCTTAATCCTAGCTACTTAGGAGGCTGAGATCAAGACTGCAGTTCAAAGCCAACCTGAGCAAGAACAGCTGTGAGATTCTTATCTCCAATTGACAACCACAAAACCCGAAGTGAAGCTGTGGCTCAAAGTGGTAGCATGCTACCCTTGAGCGAAAGACCTTAGGTGCAGCACCCATACCCTGAGTTCAAGCCGCACAACTATCAAAAAAAAAATTGTACAAGTGACAGGAGAATACCTATGTCAGTTTTATAGATACTATAAAGTATCAAGTAAGGAAACTACATTTAAGGAGGTAGTTAGAGGTGACCCTAGAGAGGGTGACCCTAGAGATGATGTTCTTAGATAAGGAACAACAAAATAAAAATCTAAGAATCATGATTTAAAGATAACAAATAGGAAGGCATTGGCTAAGTCTCTCATAAGTGTTAGCTCAGAATACTGAAATAAAGGTTGCATCATTGCTAGAAATTAGCCATTTGTGATTAGTAGAGGAAATAATTGGGGAGGGAGACAAGTTTAAGTCTAGGAATTTTAAGAATTAGGAAATGAAATGAAGGACTGGACTATAATAGATTTTTGAAAGTGGAAAATATCAGAAGTACGAGAATATATGCAGGTTGTTAAAAGATACAAAATATCAGCTCAAATGAAGGAAAAAAAGCCACAAGAATGAATGTGAGGAAAGAGCAGAGGTTAAGAGATCCTTAATAGTGTTGAGGGTGATGGGATGGATAGCGCACTGAGACACACACTAGGGGTTCAGGTATAATCCTAGATACCTGGGAGGCTGGGAATGGTTCAAGACCAGCTCAGTAGAAAAGTTCACAAGACTTCATGTCAAACCACAGCAGGCACAGTGGTGTGTGCCTGTAATCTCAAGCTACAAGAGAGGCTGAGATTGGGGGGATCTTAGTATCAGTCCTGCCCAGAAGAAATGGAAGAAAAGGAAGCTGGATACAAGGGTGCACAATGTTGAGAAGCCTAGAATAGGCAGAGTATGGATCAAGCCCATGCCTGGCAGGAAGCAATGGTATATCTTAAAAATAACAGTGAAAAACAGGGCTGCAGACATGGCTCAGCAGTACTACACCAGTCTAGCAGGTCAGGTTCTGAGTTCAAACCCCAGTACCAAAAGAAAGAAAATATTTATAGACATGTAGACATACACACACACACACACACACACACACACACACACACACACACAAACGTACTAATGAAGGCTTATCAATAAAACTAAATTTACCAACAAACACATAAAGTAGAAGTAGAAGAAACAAGAAGACAGAAAAGTAGATAATCAAGAAGTAGAGTGTTACCCAGATCAGAAAGCTACCAACTAAACACACAGTAGTCAACACTGACAGGCTATTTATTTGATGGTAACAGTAATAGAGCCTGTAAATTCAAAATAGGAAATTGTCAGAGCCAAAAAGTGAGAGGACAATTATAAGATCAAAGTCACAAAGGACCCAATGATAGTGGCCCATGTCTGCTCAAGAGGCTGAGATCTGAGGATCATGGTTCAAAGCCAGCCCAAGTCCCTAAGATTTATCTCCACTTCCAGGAAACCAGAAGTGGAACGGTGGCTCAAAATGGTAGAGCACTAGCTTTGACAGTGCCCAGACCCTAAGTTCAAGCCCTATAATAACAACAACAACAAAAAAAGGTCCCAAAGGAAATGGGAAGAGATGGAATCCAGAGTCCAGGTCAAGAAATTTGCTTTAGAAAAAAGGCATAGAAGGACACCTTTCCTTGAGGAATGTAAAAATAAAATCTATATTGCCACAATCAGTGACATACTACAACATGAGAGTCTAGAATAGAGGATTTCTCATTTCTCTATAGGAGACACTTCAAAGAGTAGTGTACACATAAATGTATAAAATCCTTTCTTGAGGAATGTAAAAATAAAATCTATATTGCCACAATCAGTGACATGATACAACATGAGAGTCTAGAATAGAGGATTTCTCTTTTTTTTTTGGTCCGGTCGTAGGGCCTGAACTCTGGGCCGTCCAGGCTGTCTGTCAGTGTCCAGCTGTCCCTTAGCTCTTCAGCTCAAGGCTAGCGCTGTACCATTTCAGCCACAGCACCACTTCCAGTTGTTTTCTTTTTTGCTTATGTGGTGCTGAGGAATTGAACCCATGGCCTCATGCATGCAAGGCAAGCGCTCTACCATTGAGCCACCTTCCCAGCCAAGCGCTCTACCACTGAGCCACCTTCCCAGCCCTCTCATTTCTTTATAGGAGACACTTCAAAGAATAGTGTACACATAAATGTATAAAATCCTCTCTTACCAGACTGGCAGTTGGAATCAGTGGTACCCATTTGCTTAATCTGATACTTACCTCCAAAAGCACCTCCTGGAATGCTTGGCTCCACAATCCATGGCTCTGTCCCTTGCTCTAACTGGGAAATCACATCAGGTTTGGAAACCTGGAGTCCTGCTCAGAGAGACAAAAAAAAAATCTGTCTGCAAAAAGGAAAAAGCAGGCCAAATATGATGGGACTGATAACATACAAAGCTTCAGTATTGCCAATTCCCAGATGTGGTGGTACAATTTAGAAACCAATCTAGATTCAAGAAAATCACGTTTGTTCTTCCGGTGTGCGTGCGTGCGTGCGTGTGTGTGTGTGTGTGTGTGTGTTACATTGGGCCTTGAACCCATGGTCTTGTGTTATTGTTTGGCTTTCTCACTCATTACTGGTGTTTTACTACTTGGTCTATACCTCCAAGCAAGCAATTTTTGCTTGTTAATTGGAGATAGAGTCTCACAGACTATTCTGCCAGGGCTGGTTTTAAATCAGTTTAAAACTTAGCTTCCTGGGGCTGGGAAGGTGGCTCAGTGGTAGAGCGCTTGCCCTGCATGCCTGAAGCCCTAGGTTCGATTCCTCACCACCACATAAGCAGAAAGAAAAAAAGCCGGAAGTGGCACTGTGGCTCAAGTGGTAGAGCACTAGCCTTGAGCTGAAAAGCTGAGAGACAGCGCCCAGGCTCACAGTTCAGGCCCCATGACTGGACCCCTAAAAAAAAAAAATACTTAGCTTCCTGAATAACTAGGATTATAGGCAGAAGCCATGGTGCGTGGCTTGTTCCTTTCCTTAAAGGAATAGAAAATACAAAACTTTTGTTTGTTATTTAGCAACTCTTGATTCCTAAACTTTAAATGTGAAACACATTTAAACAGAAAAGAGAATCCTCCTCCACCAGACTCCTTTGTCTTAAATCAGGGAAGTCATCCTTACCAACTGAGACCAGGTGTGTATAATTTTCCAAGGCCACATCCCTGAACAAATCTCTCTGTGTAGGATCCAGATGTTTCCATTCTTCCTGGGTAAAGTCCACGATCACATCCTTGAATGTCACTGATTCCTGAAATACCAAACATTTAGCAATACTGACAGAAGCACTACAAAATATGGACAAGGTAAAAATGATGCTGGCATGTTTTTCCTTTGTAAAAATCATGAAAATAGTGCCTCATTATAGAATTCTTCAAGAATACCCAACCAAACATTATCAGGGGACTGGGAAATAGGATTTGGAGGCAGTGCAAGGAAAATTGATTTTTCTCTATTTACTAAATATTTGACACTGTGCATTAACTGTATTTTTAAATGGTAAAATATATTAAAGCATTAGAAATATGCATCTAGCCACAACAGACTAACAGGACGAGGTCTCCTGCTGTATGTAATAACACTGAGCAAGGGTATGAATAGCAAACATGAGAGAAGTGAGATGGATTTCTGTAAATTCCACCATCCTCTCAATGTTTCTCTGCCTGAATTTCTTTCCAGACTGCAGAATCAGGAGAGAGAATTCTAGCAAAGCAATTGTCTTGCTATGATGAGGGGGCCAAAGTGGCAACTTAGAACTTTCGAGGCTGGAAAGTGACTGGCATACCCTGGAGAAAAGAGTGTTCCACAGAGGAAGACTTCCAAAAATCTGTTGGAATATAACTTCCTTTGACAATATTATTACCAGCATGAAATAACAATGCAAGGCTTAGAAATGTACAATCAGTCTCCATAAAGAGTTCTAGCACACTTAAGGGGTAAGGTGAGTCTAACTTGACTCTATCTTTGCTAAATATCAGGGATGTCTAAATCTATGTTTTCTGAACAAGCTCTTAATAGCTTGTGGATTGCTACAGTCATCAATCCAAGTAACAATGCTATTTTGTGTTTGTGGGGCACTAGGATAGTTTTAAATATGATGTGTAGCTGGTGTCTAGTAGTATGGGGGCTGTACCACAACTGACTATATGGCAGGTATAAGTGCAATGTGATCAATATAGGGCAATGTGATCAATTCCCCTTAAGAACTCTTGAGAGACTCCAAAACTTAAACAGACTTCTCAGGGTATAAGTAGATCCATAGCTAGAGGGAAAAGTACATTTGAGCCGGGCGCTGGTGGCTCACGCCTGTAATCCTAGCTACTCAGGAGGCTGAGATCTGAGGATCACGGTTCAAAGCCAGCCCGGGCAGGAGAGACCGTGAGACTCCTATCTCCAATAAACCACCAGAAAACCGGAAGTGGCGCTGTAGCTCAAGTGGTAGAGCGCTAGCCTTGAGCTGAAGAGCTGAGGGACAGCGCCCAGGCCCAGAGTTCAAGCCCCACGACCGACAAAAAAAAAAAAAAAAAAGAAACTATGTCACTTTCTCTGTATTTCAGAATTTAAAAAGACATACAGTAATTATTATGTGGGACCCTCCTCAGTGGGCTAAAGAGGTATTGTTTTTTATTGTTGTTGTTGTTGTTGTTTTGGTCGGTCATGGGGCTCTGGGCCTGGCCCCACTTCCTGAGTTCTTCAGCTCAAGGCAAGCATTCTACCACTTGAGCCACAGCTCACTTCTGGTTTTCTGGTGGTTAACTGAGAATCTCATGGACCTTCCTGCCCAGGCTGGCTTTGAACTGCAATCCTCAGATCTCAGCCTCCTGAGTAGCTAGAATTACAAATGTGAGCTTGTATTGTTTTAAGATTCAGTTGTGTTCCTAGATACAAAGGACATGGCTCATACAGCTAAACCCATATTCCTCACTAAGGGAGGCAAAATATGTGCCTTGCCTTTTCTTTGCTATGCAAATAACATACAAATCCAGGCACAAATGGCTCATGCCTATAATACTAGCTACTCAGGAGGCTAAGATCTGAGGATCACCATTCAAAGGAAGCATAGGCAGAAAATTCCCAATGAGATTCTTATCTCTAATTTAACTTCTCAAAAACTGGAAGTGGAGCTGTGGCTCAAAGTGCTAACCTTGACCAAGAGAGCTCAGGGGCAGAAACCAGGCCTTAAATTCAAGCCCCATGACTTACCAAAACAAACAAACAAAAAAACCCCCCAAAAATAGAAATATAGATGACTCTCTAAAAGTCTGCTAAAAGACCTTTAAACTTTGCTATTAATGCAAATTAAATATCACAATAACATATAGTATCGAATAGAATAAGGTTAAATAGGCACAGTTAACACCAATTGTTGCTGGGTGCTGGTGACTCATATCCTCCTAGATATTCAAAAGGCTGAGATCTGAGGATCACAGTTTGAAGCCAACCCGAACAGGAAAGTCTGTGAGAATTTTATCTCCATTAAACGCCAAAAAAGCTGGAAGTGGAGCTGTGGCTCAAGTGGTGAGCACTAGCCTTGAGCAGAAAATTCAGGAACATTGCCCAGGCCCTGAGATCAAGCCCAGGAACCAACACAAAAAACAAACAACAACAACAAAAACCCACAACTAATTGCTGTCAAGAATGCAAAGCAGCTGGGCACTGGTGGCTGAGGCCTATAATCGTAGCTACTCAGGAGGCTGAGATCTGAGGACTGTAGTTCAAAGCTAGCCTGGGCAGGAAAATCCATGAGACTCTTATCTTCAATTAACCACTAGAAACAAGAAGTGGCACCGTGGCTCAAAGTGGTAGAACACTATCCTTGAGTGAAAGCGGTCATGGGCAGCAACCAGACCCTGACCAAAAAAAAAAAAAAAAGGACATCTAAAGAACTATGTTTAATTTTAGGCACTGAAGTAAAAGAAATATGAATGCTATAAGCAAGGGTTTTCGGAGAAGTTTCAAGAGGTATCACATGAATCCCTCAAAAGAATTGAGGCTTGGGGGCTGGGAAGGTGGCTCAGTAGTAGAACCCTTGCCTTGCATGCATGAGGCCATGGGTTCGATTCCTCAGCACCACATAAGCAAAAAGGAAAAAAGCTGGAAGTGGTGCTGTGGCTCAAGTGGTAGAGTGCTAGTCTTGAACTGAAGAGTTGAGAGACAGCACACAGACCCAGAGTTCAGGGCCCAGGACTGGACCCAAAAAAGAATTGTGGCTCCTAATTGTTTAAAAAAAAAAGTGGTTTTAACAGCTGACTTCATACATAAGGGCAGTAATTGAAAGAAAGATGCCTCGTGCTTTTGAAGCTAAGAACTAAGTTAAACACAGAAGTTACAGAAACAGGCACTTCTGGTTAATATAAGGAACTAAAATAAGGGAGCTATCTGTATTCAAAATGGCGAGTTTAATGCCATACTTCTGGAATAAGCTTGACAAATAGCCATCTGCAAGGATTCTTGCATGAACAGATGGATAACTACAAAATTACCATTCTAAAATATTAATAAAGAGAAATCAATTGAGGATCTTATAGTATGAATGTCTGCTTCTTTTTCTTCCCTAGTTCAGAAGTCAGAAACAACTTCCCATGGGACTAATTGTTACGGGATTTCTTTACTTACCCTAAGCACTCGGTTCCCTCCTCCCTCCTTTTCAAGCTCGGCAAGTACTAGCTCCTCCATTCATGACTGTCCCTAGCCTCTGTCGCCTGTTTTTTCCAAAGCAGTTCTCATTACCTTCCATTTCAGGAGCTCATCACGTTCCTCTGGAACTTGGGCGAGGCTCCCCAATACAGCGTCGGGCCGATACTGAGGTCTGAGGCTCAGATGTCCAGCTCCCGGTGCAGAGTTGCCCCCTAGCACTTTGCGGTTGCTGTCCTAACAGACACAGGATGAAGTCAGCAACATACGTCACAGAATCACACCTGAGAGCCCTGCAGACTGACCAAGAGGTCCCGCCCAGGAGAGCACTAGGGAAGCGATCAACAAAAACACGCGTGGAGTCCAACCTTCGATCCAAAATCCCTCGCTGTCCACCCAAGAATCTGGCCACGGGCGCCCACAGATCTGGCCCGTTACCTTGGTGCCCCCTAGCACCTCGCATGCCCCGCGGGCTCGGATACAGTGGGTCACACCTGTTGCAGAAGGCAAATGTTGGAAGATGGACAGGTCGGGCGAGGCGTGGCATCCGACTTCCCCGGAGAACAGAACAAAAGAACAAAGCCCTCCAAGGCATCTGGGCGGGACTGCCACGCACCGAAGGAGGCGAGGTGCGCCCCCTTCGAGGACTCCCCGGCTTCCTCCGGCAGAGGCCACGTCACGCGAAGCCAAAGGGGTGACGTCACAAGCCGAGAGGAGTGGCGTTTGCCACGGTGGATACCTGAATTTGGCTTCCCGTCCCAGAGTGATCCACACACTAGGATCCAGAGTCGGGAAGCAGTGGGTCAGTTAGCACACCTTAAAGAAGGGAGCTAAACCTACCGGACCAGTTCAGCTGCAACCTCTCCCCACACCCACCTTGGGCTTCACGGTCACTTCCGGTCTTGAGACCCCGCCCACCCACCCACCGTCTACGTTAGGCCGCGCACACAAAACTACAGCTCCCAGAATGCACCACGCAAATTTCTTGAACTACATTTCCCAGGCTGCCAAAGTGTAAATCCCCGTCGCGGGAGAGTACAAATAGTCTCACTCTCCAGGAATTTGCTTCCGCTGGTTTGGATTGTGAATGGTGACAGCTTCGTTTCTCTGACTGAATGATCTTTGAAAGTATACATATTTAGCCGGGCGCCGGTGGCTCACGCCTGTAATCTCAGGAGGCTGAGATCTGAGGATCGTGGTTCAAAGCCAGCCCGGGCAAGAAAGTTTGTGAACCTCTTATCTACAAATAATCAGCAGAAAACCGGAAGTTGTGCTGTGGCTCAAATGATGTAACACTTTCCTTGAGCTGACGGGCCGAGGGAGGCCCAAAGTTCAAGGCCCACAGCAGACAAAAATAAAAGTTTTATACATATATGTGTATATATATAAATATGCACACATTTATATGCTTCTAGTTTTAAAATGCAAACATTTCATAACCCAATGCTTTATTATTTGGCCTGCATTTTAATCTGAGCTCTATTCCTTTGTTATGTTTTAAATCCTGGTCAAGACCTATTAAATTGTTCTCATTACTTTGAAATGGGTTGCAGCCCACTTTGTTTGTTTAATACTAAGGAATTTAGAGGTGGTGTGACCATGTTTTACCCCTTGGCAGTGTATTGCATATGCCTACATCCAACACATAGCTGATAAATCTGTCAGTACGTCTTTCTTATTTAAAAAAATTCCACCCCTCTGTACAGTATTTTTACAATAAAAATATATATGGAAAAACTCCAACAAATAGGTTTTTATATTTTAAAGGTTTGGTCCGCTCACTTTCTGTGCTTGTCACCAATATTTGCATCCTGGAACTAAGATCAAGTGCTCACCTTATTGACTGACAAAGCCCTAGAATTGGAAATTCTGGTGCCTGAATATCACAGGTAAAGGAAAAAGACCGTTAGATAGTCTCAGTAGATACAAGAAGACATGCCATGAATGGAACAGGAAAGAAAGCTGTGAGGAAACACACTGTAATAAGATACTAAGTAAAAGGGGATAAAAGCAAATTGAAAACGTATAACAATTAAAATCATACTGGAGGAGAATTGAATTGATGCCGTGGGGAAGTTAATTATTCAGTCTAGGATAGACCTTTAATACTTCACCATGATTTTTTTGTTGTTGTTGTTAATAGGAGCTAGGAGCAGAGTCCCAGTGGCTCATGCCTGTAATCATAACTATTCAGGAACCTCAGATCCGGGGATTAGAATTAGAAGACAGCTCCACGCAGCAAAGTCTAAGACTCTTTATCTTCAGGATTGTTACAAAATACATATGTGTGTATGGATTTGAACTTAGGGCCTTGTTCTACAAGTAGACAAAAACACAGCTATAAATTAAAACACTTCATAAGGAGATAGATAGAACTAGACGTACCTTGTCAAAGAATGTTTAAAACAATTTAATAACTAGGAAGCTTTCTACCTCGGTTTACTGGTGCTGGGATTACATATGTAACCCACCGTGCCCAACAATATTGACAACAACATTCAATAGCATAGTTTATATTCATACGAACATCTGGCAAACCCTATCAAAACTACTTGGTGTCTTCAGAGCATGTTTCTTAATAAAACCACTGAATTTTTTTTATAATCTGCTTTTGAATCTTTTTAAGAAAAAAAATATATCCCTCCTTCCTTCCCTGTTTCTTTCCTCCTCTTTTTTCTTCTCAGCTTCTTCCTTTTCCCTCTTCCTCATTTTTCTATTTAGACTGTGTGGTTTGTCTATTTGTGGTAATTTCCCTCTGTTTTTATATTAGTATATAGTTCCAGGAAGTCCACAAAAGGCCAATTGCAGTAATCTATGCTCCTAAAAGTCTCAGGAAAATTTCATGGCCAAGAGTTTTTAGCCTACACCACTAGAATGCCAGAAAACGTATAGAAAATATGGTAAATTTTGTCTTTACCCAGGCTAGAGTAGTAAAAGTGCACCATGAAATGCAAAGCATGTGCAGAAGCAAAGGGTTTAACTCTTCCCTGAGGAATGATGATAGCAGAGAGATGATTCTGGACAGGAACTTAAGAACAGAAACTTTTCTCTATCATTTTCCGATCCGATACAAATTAAGCACATCCCCTCCTGAAAATCCTAAGTATTCATCGAGGAAAAGATGTATGTGTGAGACTTAGAACTAGGATGGAGGTCTGGTTCCACTTCTTTGTGAGGTGTCTGGTGAGGGAAATAGAGGCCTCTAGTTGTCAGGAACAGTGTTACTAGAGGACGAAGACTCCTCTTACAATGCTGTCCAGGGTGTGGCTAATAGAAAGGCTGGCTTTCTTTATTACGGTCGCACGTCATCATAGGGCTTCTATTGAAATTGCAGAGGACAGCTCCAGGCCCTCAAAACCATCTTTATCTGTTTTTCCCTTCCGTTTTGCCATAGACCACCTAATGGCATTTCCCTTTGATGATTTAGATGGCATTTCCCTTTGATGATTTGAACAACACAAATAGTCCTTATGTAGTCGTGGCCGAGTGGTTAAGGCGATGGACTAGAAATCCATTGGGGTTTCCCCGCGCAGGTTCGAATCCTGCCGACTACGGAGCGTTTTATTCTGAATGCAACTTTCGTTTCACCGGAAAAACAGGATTTAGATGTGATGTAAAGGGAACTCTCGCTGGAGTGAGATGCAGAGAAACGATAATGGGTTCACCACGAGCGTTTTGGTTTTGTCTTTTTTTTTTTTAGCGGAACTCAAGTCAGCAGTCGGTGTTTGCAGCTTCATTATGGGGAGGGGCGCTTTCCCCTCCCCGATTCTCACAGGGAGGGAGTAACGGGAGCCGATGGACTCGGACTAGATGGGAACAAATTAGATTTGTGTATTGACTCATCTTGCATAGAGCAAACGAGCAGGGATAGCAGTAACTTCATGGAGAGTTTCTAAGATCACTTTCCTGCCTACTCCTCGTTAGTATAGTGGTGAGTATCCCCGCCTGTCACGCGGGAGACCGGGGTTCGATTCCCCGACGGGGAGAAGCTGATACCTTTTTAAGTACCTTAACTTAAACAATGTTCATCTCCAAAGAAATACTGAATTCAAAAAAATACAGCAAGCTCTAAAAACTAAGCGATTTGGTTGCACAAAGGGAAAAATAGCTAACCCTAACCAGGTCCATACTACAGATTTTGCTAAGACACCTGACATAAGTTTCCCTAGATAATGATGTGCTAAGGTGAGGCCAGCTTATACTTTTATGTTTTTGGTGATAATGTGTAGTCTGACTCAGGAATCATCAAACAAATACAAATTAGAAAACATTCTACAAAATAACCAACTTGCAATAATCAAAACTACAAATATTACAAATACAAAGAAAGACCATATTCCATGTTAAAAACTAAAGGTGAGTTTTAAAGGTAAGCATTCAATACGTGCTATGGAACTTTTCCCTTTGTATTCAGGTCATTATTGAGACAGTTGATGTAAGATATATGAAACACTTTATCAAATGGGTTTATTTTTTAATGGATACACTCATTATACAATAAAAGGACATACTGATATAAAAAGCAACAGGAAATTTCAGCTGTTCTGTGCCATTTACAGAAATTAAACCCATCATTTAATTTAATGTCATTCATATGCTCCTCTCGGTCTAGATGCATTCACTTGAAAATTCTTCCAACAAATAATATCAATCTTTCACAAGCCGTTTTAACTAGGAAGAAAAAAAAACATTGTTTAACTCATGATTACATGATAACTTTGATACCAAGGGAATATTACAGGTCAATATTTCTCATAAACATAAATTTGAAACTCTTTAATCAACATGCTATCAAATCTAACATATATAATTACACCTATAACTATATAAATATGTGGTTTTATAACATGTATAGTGCATATATGCAAAATGTTATATATGTATATATATATTGCAGATACCAAATTCTGCCTAATGCTCTTGCCGGATTACACTCCCATTAAAGCAACCAAGGGCTAATCAGAGTTGATCTTATGTCTGGTAAAAACAATATTCCATCTCTCTCCCTTCTAATTTCTCTCTTCACCCTTCCCTGACTCCTC